ATGCAAACGTGGTCATCATGCTTGAGGAGGAGGAGGCCATACGAAGGTTGCGGGCGAGCGATGCGCGTCGGTGAGTCCGTTCAACATTTGCTTGGCTTAACTCAGCGCGTTGAATCGTTGTATAGAAGTTAAAATGTGTTAATCTCTCCAGTATTCTGGTGTGTACCCTCGGCTTTCTGACTTTGCTCATGATCAGCTTTGTTCTCTATCTGCTGTTCAGTGATCTGCATGCCAATTTTCCAGGACTCTTCGTTTGACTTTGGTTTAACTTTGGTTCTTCGTTTTTATTTTATCCGTATTGTATTTTCAGACAACTGTATGATCACCACGACCTTATGAATGTATATACTACCCGCGCAGCCTTGTCCAGAAAGCTGTTGAAGTTGAACTGACATGAGCATGCGGTCTTGGACATCGATATCATGTCACACAGCTTGCCATGAACCATATAGAGCTATTCGACGCCACCTCTCCAGGCTCTCCCTCAGGCTATCGTCGCATACTAGATGGGCATCCGTGAACATCCCGCCGAACGACCCCATGTCTGCATAGTCGGAGCTGGCATTTCCGGGCTTCGATGCACAGATGTCCTCCTTCCAAAAGGTTATCAAGTGACCATCCTCGAGGCGCGTGACAGGATAGGTGGCAGAGTTTGTGGGCTTCAGAAACTATGCTCTCCCTTGGGCTGAGGCTCTGCTAGATCTGCCAATCCGATGCCCTGGGCTACACCGTCGACATGTGGGTTCAGCCGCAACTTGGCCGCTTTCTCAGCTGAGTTGACGATTACAGCGGCCCAAATTGGATTCACGCGTGGACCGACTCTGATGAGCCGCACCCCATTTTCAAGCTCGCGACCGACACAGACACACCGGTGCACTACTGGAACAACAAGCAGCTCATCTTCAATTCCGACGGAAACGCGCTCCCAGATGAACTTACTGAGCGCCTTTCGACTCTCCTGTGGGATATCATCGGAGATGCATTCAAGTTTAGCGAAGCCGCGCGCCAGAAAGATGGCGGCAAGTCGATTCCAGCCGAGGAGTCTCTGTATGACTTTGTCAAGCGCGAGGCGGCCGCGCGACTGAACGACCCAAAGGAGAGAGAGCTGCTGGTGCAGATGAGCGAGATGTTCGGCGCCTACGTCGGTGAGCCTGTGTGGAAGCAGAGCTTGCGGTTTGCGTGGATGGAAGAGTGTTGTGGAGGGGGTGCGTTTTCTCTTTGCAATTACACTTTCCATAGCTAACGACTCATGATAGAGGAAATGTTCGTCGCGTCGAATTACTCCAAGATTCTCGAACGCTGTGCAGCGCCCGTCCTTGCTAGGGCCAAGATCTGCCTGAATACACGTGTCACCCACATCTCGACGCCTGCAACTTTGAAGGACAAAATCACCGTATCCATTGCTGACGGCTCTCCGCTCTCCTTTGACTACGTCGTTCTTTCGACGCCTCTTGGCTGGCTGAAGCGGCACATCTCTGCCTTCACTCCCGAACTTCCACCGCGCATCACGAGCGCAATCACCAACCTCGGGCTCTCGCAGCTCGAAAAGGTCTTCATCACCTTCCCCGCCGTCTTCTGGACGCCCGCCTCGCACGCCGCCACCTCCCCATGCTACGCAAATTGGCTGGCGCCGTCCTACGCGCCTGATACGAATCCGACCGCATGGCCGCAAGAGATCTGGGACCTCTCCTCCTTCGCCCCGCCCAACAATCACCCCACGCTCCTCTTCTACCTCTACGGCGACTGCGCGCGGCACATCGTCGGCCTCGTCCACGACAAGCCAGCGGACGAGAAGTTCGCGCTCCTTGACGCGTTCTTCCGGCCGTACTACTCCCGCCTGCCCGGGTTCGATGCGGACAGCGAGGCGTGCCGCCCCGCGCGTATCCTGGCGACCGAGTGGATGCACGACGAGCTTGGCGGCGGCGCGAGCTACTGCAATTTCCCCGTGGGCGCAGAGGCGGCGGACGGGGACGTGTTGGCCCTGCGTGCGGGGTGCGCGGAGCGGCGGCTGTGGTTTTGCGGCGAGCACGCAGCCCCGTTCGAGGAGTGCGGGACGGTAGCGGGGGCATATCTGAGCGGACAGGCTGCGGCAGAGAGGTTGCATATGTGCCACAAGATGGCGACAAAGTAGTTCTTCCTCGAGTCCGTCCTGTCAAGTCGGATCACCCGGAAATACGGTCAAGTCGTCTCTGCAGTGTGCAGGCACCACATTCTTTCAGCCCAAAGTGCAAATTTATGCACATTACTTACGCCCTTGAAAATGATTTGATTGGTTTATAGGCCGTGGAGGAGATCGGCGTCTTCGCAGATGAGCTGCCAGTGCGTCTTGAGACCTCTTGGGAACAGCTTTGTGGTGTCCATCATGGACCGCCCACAACGTCTTTGAACCACTCCGGGACGGCCTCGAGCTGTATTCTCCAATCAATTGTTTTCTCAACCAAGGAATTCTTTTTTCAACATCCCCAACATCCGATTCAACTGTGGCACCTTGGGACTGCTGTTGATATCTAGTATCCAAAGTCCATAAGGTATTGAAGAGCCTCACTGACTGCACATTTCTTCCACGGTTTGTGATATTATCGGATGTTTCAACTGACATCGCGGGTTCCAATTGCTTAAAAATAAGCGGGCTGGTTCAAAATTCTGGTGGGCGGAAACAACAGAAGGTCCGGGTCGAGCGACTGAGGCTACGGCGAAGTAGTGATGTATGGTATACACTCCATAACCCATCTGTACATGTTTATTCGTTCATGTTTATATCTGAAGTGTCCGAGACAATTGAAAAGTAAAATATCTCCGGACGAAGAGTTCGATGTTATCCTCACGGTGCAGCATCCATCTACGGGGTCTGCATCAGACTACCGCGGGAATCGAAGTTCTACATAGATCTGCTCCTTCTTAAAATGGAAGAAAAAATGAACGATGGGTGTAATAACGCACCGCTATTAACGACTTGTTCAAAAGCTTCAACGCATTTGCGGATACGGCAGCAACATGGGTTGGCGTTTTTCCGGCCGCTGCCCATGCGTCGGCAATCCCGTATCGTTTCCCCTTGAGCTGCTGGTCGAGAGTCAACTTCGCCGCCAACGACTCCGGGGATATATGTCTCCCAGTGACAGTGAACACGCACGATGAGGAATGGACTGATTACAAAGTCGTGATCGGTGGGAAGCTTATTCACACCCCGTTTCTTGTGAACGAACTAAACAATTGGTGCAAGAGGTGTGGCAGTTACCTCGTCATTGGCCAGCTCTGCGGCTTCGTCTAGCATGATCTTGTTTTTCATCGTATCCAGGCGTAACTGAAAGGCTAAGACCATGATCGGGTCTGTGACGGCGCCTGTGGAAGGGTTTCGGACGGTCGGGTTCCCGTGCAGGACATGAGCCACTGCGGCCTCTACCGAATCTGCTAGATTGAACGACGCAGCCGCACCGTAGTATCTGCGGGGGTCTATTCCGTATCGACGGAAGCTCAGTAAATATTCCTCTCGGGTGGCGTGATACAAGACAATGGGGGTGGAGGGAAGGGGGACAGTTAGGGGAATGAGTGGGGGATGGATTTCTTGCACCGCTCGAGCGAACGCGAAGGACTGGATGTAGAATTTGTGCCGCCCTGCTTGCATCTCGTCGGTTGTTGGTGGCGAGCCAGGTTCATCAGGGCGCGGAACTCGAACCTCGGTTGCTGTAATGTCCCTCCAGTGAATCCAGTCTGGTTGGGGGGTCGGGTCTCCTTCCCCTGCACTTCCTCCCCGGGCCTCTCTGTTGCTCTCCTCTCCTCCCCCTGTGCCCGCTGCAAGCGCATCGGACATCGTAACAAGATCTAAACAAAGGTGAGTCAAAGAACGGAGTAGCTCGTAGAACACATCCGAGACGGTGAGATCGAAGAATAGTGGCGGGCTCCCGCTATTCTGTAGATCTCGATAATATCGCTGCAGGGAGTCGCAAGTTTGGTGAGAGAATACGAGTCGAGAGAGAAGGTCTATCTTCGCTAAGTACAAAAGGCGGTTAGCTATGGATAGGGAATACGTTGTGAATCATGCGTACCAATCGTGGCGGGCGTGTTGAGTTGAGGATTCTTCTATGCTGGTTAGGCCGCGGTCTTCGGTGACGTAAGGAGCGTATTCCGGACACAGGTAAGACGCCAGGAGATGCATCTCCTCCGTGCCCTCATCATCCGAGTCCATGTCGGCTGCCAGACTTGGGGCTGGTAGAAAAGTACAGTGATGCCAGATGTCCGGTGGGGAAGAATGGGCAAGCCGCGGCGGCGTAGTCGGCGGGGTGGTAATGGGGAGAGCGCCCTCCTGCACGCCGTGGCTCGGGGAGATCATAGGGGAAGTGCAGAAGCGCGGTGGCTATGTTTGGTATTTGTGCCTGATGTCCGAGTCATCGGGATCGGTTTCTTTCCAACTCATACATACTGACTCAGAGGCTGCACAGTTCTTCCTTCAGGTGGCGGGTTACTTCAAGACTCTCTACTTAGCAACCTGAAATGCGAAGAATGGCTACCACTATAATCATTTTTTGAAAGTTGAACCAAGGTTGAAAACGGTCGGAGCTTGCCGGCCGCCATCAATGTTGGTTTTCTGTCTCTTATCTACATGCCAGTCGCTGGCCAGCAGCATCGTCAGATATTTTTAGCCAGTGACTAGCAAGCGTGTTGAGCTCGGGTTGCTGTTCCCGAAGTACTCCTCCACGGGAGATTCCAATGTCTTTTTTCGACCTATTAGACTCACTTACTACTGTTTTATGTATGAGATCGTCGGAAGTGACTACATTCAAGCCGCGCCGAGCCGAATTCAACTCCGTGTCTTGCATAGTCTCTCTAGACAGACGCTCTATCACAACCAGCTCGTACCTCGCTTGATGGATGTCTTGCAAGTCTGTCGACACTGGGTGATTCCGAGTCGTTGGGCTTCTATCACAGTCATTATCCACGCCTGGGAGCGAAACCATGGCAGATTGACATTGAAATGCCAATACGTGTATGCTGCTGCAAATGTGGACCCGATAGCACAGTTGGTTAGTGCGGTCGACGGGATCATTAACCAAATCTGCCAAACGTCTCTTCGTCGGAGATCCTTGTTCGAACCGGGGTTGGGTCATGTATTCCTCGTAAATTTCTTTTTTGGCCACTGGCACGGTTTATAGTTCATCTGTTGCCCAATTTCGTGCGTTTCGTATGCGCAGTGACGTTCGTTGTTATAGTATCGTGCCGAATCGCAGAGTGCATGCCATTCATCAAGGAGAGTTACATACCTGAATTTACATAGATCTCTGAAATGCCGGTCGGACTTGCTTCAAATATTGCGCCGAAACAAGGAGGGAAGTCCTACTGTACTCGCGTCCGGTCCAAAGTCATGGAGCCCGTAGTCGTAGTTTAAAATTTGAACCAGCGAATTGCTGTCGATGCAAGGTCGAGATTTGTACTTGTATCATGATTCTGGCTTCAAACAAATTGGAACTTACAAACCCTGCCAGCGCCACACGCGATTCTACTTACCACTTATTCGAGCGGCGACCAAGCCGGAAGAAAGAACGCTCATCGAAACTTTGTCTGCCCGGCGCCCGCTGTCCCAAAACGCATTGCGAGTGTCCGGGGCTGCACTAGTACTGCGGCTAATGAACGCCTTTCATCAGCTTTTCATTGTGCAAATGAACGCCCGAGGAGCAATGAGCATTGCATGAGGACGCGGTTCCGCGCGGGGCGGTCCCTTCTTCCTTCGTGAGGATTCCAGATGTGCAGATGTGCGTATAGTTTCGAGTTCAGATATGCGTATGCGTATGCGTATGCGTGTAGTTACAGTGTAGTGTAGCCATAGGGTCTAGAGTGCAGAGTGCAGAGTCGCGGGCCCGCTTTTTTCGTGGGAGGGCGAGTATATTGCGTGCAATGGAAGGCCCGGCGCGTGAGTAACTTGCACTCGGTTTAATGCCCGAGTGCAAGTGGCCGTTCATGGAGTCGCGGTGAGCGGGTGGGAGGTGAAACGGGGACCTCATAGGGTTAACAATGAGCGTTCATGAAGCTAAAACACATTAAGAGCTTTAAACACTGGCACTCGGGGTAGCGCGCAGCACTCACAGGTGACCACAAAGCCCACTTGGCCGTTCACTCGAAGGTGAGCCTGTCGCGCGAGTTGATGCCGCGCGCCGGCACCGGCTCCGCACCGTCCTCCCCGTCCACCAACTCCAGCCCATCCATCTCGTCAAACTCGTTCCCCTCCAACAACTCCATCCCATCCCCATCCTCCTCCACAAACTCCACCCGCCTCGCCGCACTCCCGTCCGCCCGGCTCTGCATCACCGCCCGCGCCTCCATGCGCTCCCTCAGCGCGCTGAGCGACAGATACTGCGCCTTCGCCTCCGCCTCGCGCTTCATCAGCTTCGCGCGCTGGCCGCCCGAGGGCGCCCAGCGGCTCTTGAGGATGCGACGCACGGCCTCGGGGGAGACGCGGAAGCGCTCCGCGAGGACGGGCGTGGTGAAGCGCTCGGGGTCGACGCGGTGCAGCTGGCGCAGGCCGTCCATCGCCTCGCGCGAGAGCTTGCGCGGGGGGTTCCACCCGTCGGGGAAGGTGTGCCGCAGGGCCGCGCGGTGGGCCTGCCAGGAGACGGGCGTGGGCTTGAGGGACGGGGTGCGGCGGGCGGAGGGGGCGCGCCGGCCGTCGCGGTCGACGGCGGCGTTGTCCTCGGAGAGGTCGACGGGTGTGGTGTCGTCGTCGAGGATGGACCGGGCGGTGCGGGACGTGTGCCGGCGGACAGGCAGCGCAGACGTGCTGGCCCGCACACGAGCGCGCAGAGCAAAAAACATTGATCGCGGCACAGCCACGTCGGCCGGGCTTTTCAACCACAAGTTGAACCGGCAAATTCAACCCATAAAGACCACTGGAGCCTGTCTGGACTCTGTCCACTCCTTGCATCAACAGCACATTTTCTTATGCCATTAGAACTCGAGTAACCACTTCCACCTCCATAGATTGTCGATTTTTTCTCAATCCCTGTGGTGGAAAAAAATGTATGACCCAACCTCGAACGTATCGTGTTCTAAACGTTGCATAAATCAAAACGCACAAATATAAACTTTGGTGCTCAAAACTTTTTTTTTCGTACCTTAGATTCTTTATGTGCTGAGTCTATTGACAGTAGCCTCTTTGTGTTGTCTGTGTGTCTGTTCTTGAAGGAACAGGGCAACAGCACAACGACAGACACGCATCAGTGGAAATTGATCGTACTCGGGGTTTTCCGGTGCTCCTGATCTTTCGAACAGGGCTTTGAGTTAGCTAGTATACCCACCATGCCAAACAGCCTCATTCCATTGCTTGTATGTCTCTTACTTCAAATTTGACTTTTGTTTTGAATCTGATTTTATTTTTTTCGTCGCATTCCACTCAATTTTGATGGCATCAAAACATCGATCAACATCCAAGTTGTATCTCTCCAGCTCTCCCCCAAGTCGAACTTAACAATGGGAGATAACTAGACTCGCTAACCAGTCGACGTCCACTCGTTACAATCCTACGGGTGGGCGAACGTACGGATTAGGGAAAGAGACCAAATAAGAACAATATCAGACAAACATTGATGGAAACGACAACAACACGGTAACTTCGTGGACGGACTGGGCCGGCACGTCGCGTGTTTTGGTGATGGTTGTTGCCCCCGCCATTTAAGAGGCTCGGACTTAGAAAATAAGCATCCAAAAGCTTGAGAAAAGTGCTCAAAGTGTGGTAATTGAAGCTGGGTTATTTTTGATTCTCTATCGAATGAGCCCTACATGTTTTTCGGCCAAAAAATCGAATATTTTGGAGCCTCCCATCACCCGCCATCAAGCTCATCAAAGTCCGTTTCGACACGCTATTTTGAAGTAATTCGGCATTTTGAAGCTTCTTGAAGGCTTCAGGGGCGCAATTTGGGTGTCCAGGGTATTCGTTCTGCCTTCTAGTGGTCAACTTCAAGCAGGAACGAGGTCACAAGAGACCCTGTGCAGCAATTTCAGTCACAAAACAACTTTTTACCAATCGATAGAGAATTCAAAAACATCCATATTGTATTAAGACACCTAAAGCACTTCTTTTGGAGATTTGGAGGCTTTTTGACGAAGTCCCCACCTCTTAAATGGCGGGCAGATCTTCCATCACTGAAACATGCGACGGGGGAGCCCAGCCGGTTCCGGAAGTTGTCGAGTTTACGATTGCATCATTTATTCCGGGCCGGCTGGTCCACGAGCCTAGGAGATAACCACCGACTCTTCGTAGACCTCTATTATGACAGAACTTTGTTGGCGGAACCTTCCGGAAGCCATCAAATGCCTTAATTTGGGTTGTGTGCATCGTGCGGTGTGGTCCAAGTGCCTATGCCTTCGCGAATAGGGCTACAGAGGTCACATTGTGCAGGGAAGCGGCACAGAGGTAATTTAAGATACAGTCTTAAACTAGGAAGCGCAACATCAAAGCTTAACAGGCCTTGATCTCAGCCAATTCTTCACGGAAGCACTCACTCCAAGTTGTGAAGTGGACCGTTGGAATACGAAGTCTACGCCCCAACTTACCCTTTGGTGTTTGGGCGCGTAGTTGTCGAGAACGAGCCCGATCTTTGCAAACAACCAAATTTGCACAAATTACGTAGAAGCGCAACAACTTTAATTAGCTAAAACGACCTCTTAGGCCATTTCTTTTGGAACGAAAATTTGTACAGCTGTACTGGGAGACCCTGAAAACCCTATGCCATGCTCAACCTTCAAGCAGGCACCTGTATAAATCTTCTCCGCGGAACGGCGATCAATGGCTGACAGGTTCACTTTACACGCCCAACAACCATGGCTTTTTCTCGATCCTCACGGCGACTTTTGGCCCAGATCTTTGTATAGGCCTCGTGAGGGGATCCTGTGGTGTGTTTGTACAAAGTTCTGTGCATACTTGAGGTGACTGAACAGCCGAAACACACGTGTTGCGCTTCTACGTTTGTTGCGCTTCCTAGTTTAGGACTGTATGAGAAAAAAAAGTTTTCACCACCAAAGTTTATATTTGTGCATTTTGAGTTATGCAACGTTTAGAACACGATACGAACGAGGGTTTCGCGCGAAAACTTGTCCATGCAAAGAATATGAATGATGGCAGGCGCACTAACCAACTGTGCTATTGAGTCCATGCAGGCCTGTTCCATTCCAAAGTATTACAGCAGTTTGCATAATTTCGTGAAACTTTCAAAAATTCTGTGCGCTGTCACGTGTACAATGACACAGTCCGGGAGAGTGTTCCACAGCTTTCAGTGCACTTACCATGGATGATATGGGGGTATAATGCTCTCGGGCGGCTTCGGAAAGAAGCAGAACGCTAGAGAACGCTCAAGGATGTCGATTGATGGACTTCGGCAAACGCCGAAGCTGCGGCATCAAGCCGGCATCCATGTTCAAGGGTTGTGAGAGACATGTGAGTGCAATGGGAGGTCACTCGAGGCAAAACTAAGGGTTTTGGAATCAATGTACTGGGTGTCCGGGCCGAGGTCAAAAAAAAAAAGGAAAGAGGAGAGAGAAGAGGGAGAAATTCACGAGTGCTTTGCAATCAGACACAGAAATCTCAGGAGTCGAGTAAAGGACAAGACAAGATCATATTTTCATTGCCCATAAGACTACAGCGTGGGATGGAATAAATGCTTGGCAGAACAGTCTCTGCATCCACAACCTCTTGGATGCGTGCAAAGACGAGATAGATGTGCCAACTGACTTGAATCTTGGCGGGCGATGTGGGCCGCTGCGCTGCGCGATTATGTTGCGTGCGCAATGATGGAGTGCGTAAATTGTGGGGCGGCGACTCATTGACACTGTGCGTCAGATGTAGTTGGTATAAATAACGAGCGGGACTCACCTAAGCATGCGAGGAGTACGCTGCGTCGTTGGATCGTGAGGAGCACAGAGAGGGAGCGAGAGATCTGCCAACTCGGACATGCACGTGCAAGAGTCATCCGTGTCGGAAAGTGTGTGATCAGAAAGGATGGCAGCTGCGCATGGTATCAACAGAGAGCACAAATGAAGGACAGAGAGGCTCACCTGGAGTGCACACAACTGGTTCGCCCATACCGTCACGTCGATTGGCAAGGTACTTATCAGTCTGACTTCGAATCGCAAACAGATGGCCACGGACAACAAACTGTCTGCTGGCAGCTCGCTCTCTTCACTGAAACTTAGGTCTTTCGCCGTCAGATTCGCTCGTGCTTTGGAAACTTGCGCATTCATTTGTCGGCGTGCTGTCCTGGACCGGTGACCGGTCGCGTTTGACGGGACTGTTTGACGGGACTCCGGAGGCCAGAAGCTGATTAAAGGACAGTATGAGGGTTCCTTACAGTGTGGAGGTTCGTGTGTAGTGTTGCCAGTGCAGGACGGCGAGAACGAGTGAAGACGATGTGGGTGTAGCGAGATGGCGGATAACGTGTGACGTGACCAAATTATCTGCCAGTCACGCAGTTATCTGCCATTTCACAATCCCAAGAGCTACGAGCCCGAATTTACTCTTGTAAGTAAATAGAGCGTCTTTGTACTTCTCGATACGGCTCCTGTATTATTTTCGAGAATTTAGAGCCAGTGAGTGTGAATATCGCGGTCGCCGTGGCAGATAACCGTACAGCCACTGGCAGATAATACCCAGCTGATCTAATCATAAACCAAACTAAGACTGCGGCATGGCACAGACCCCCTCTGCAGCTCATCCATACCGGCACGTGACAGTGCGCAAAATTTTGGGATTTTCACGAAATTATGCAAACTGCTGTAGTGGGGATCGATATTGTGTGAATAATCCAACGTTGACGAGTTCATCGAGTGAGCCGACCCAAGAACGAACCGGAGGCTGGGTTCCTATAAGAACTTCAGCATACAACGCGGTTGAACACGATACAACGCGTATAAAGGGCACGAAGAAGAGGAACCCGCGCCAATGACAAAAACAATGATACCGAAATTGAATGACCCAACCTCGACTCGAACGAGGGTCTCCTGCGTAAAGACAACCACAATCATCCTAAAATTGGCAGGCGCACTAACCAGTTGTGCTATCCGTCTCAATCAAAGGTTATCGATTAGAGGTGCAATGCGCCAGAAAGCGATCCGAGTTGAAGTTGACTGATTTCAACATGAGTCTGACTCAGAGTCCTAACCTTCGCGTCTCAACCGCCGGTGACGACTCTCCGTCGAAAGGGTCTATTGGGATAACCGTCCGACCATCCCACAAAGTGAGTCCAGCGCAAGCGGGGTCCGAATCACTTCAAGTTGGATCCTAGACTCAGCGTAGCGTGATTCAGACGAATCCGAGACCAGTCTTGGCACAAGATTGAGGAAGACCGTCCTAGTCGACATGCAGAACACAGAGAGGGAAATAATTTGGTTATCGGTGTAGAATCAGGGACATGAGGATATCGAAAGCTGAGCACCGAGCTGCTGAAGCGTACCACGTTCAACTTGAACCTGATCGTTCCGGGGCCAGCTCATCGACGGCTTTTGGCGAAGACAAGTCTGAATGTTCCTGGCCGCATTATGGAATGCTCGCTCGTCCGGGAATATTCCTCTCATGGTCTCCTCAGGGTATCGCGTGCCCCGTTCCCCGACAACGACAACGAGGTTCCCTATCAACGTGAATCGACCCGCAGTTTCGCGAGTTCAATCCCGCTGCTAACGGACTTCCCCAGCAGGAGTTCTGAGCGTCTGAACGAGAAACGAGTTGAGTGGTTGAGCGGAAGATGGTTTTGCACAGCCGCAAAGTTGGCCGATCACTCACAGTGTTTACCTCCTCTCCTTTGCTCTGCTCCTCTCGTTCTCCTCTCCCTCGTTGTTATAATAAATGGCTGACGTCAGCGATCCCGCCAGATGCTTGTTGAGCAGGCGTGAATAGAGCAACTGTTAATTTCTGACCCCTTGACCATGTAATGACCACCCGAAAAATCGACAGCTAAAGCCAGTCTCGCTTGGAACGATTGAAGTGACTTCGAAACTCTCCTGGTCGGGCCTCAGCCTCATCCAGCCGAACTGGCCCCAATTCTGAGCTCCGAGTATACTTCGGAGGAAGCTAGGCTGACGACAAAGGAATAGCTCGGAAAAACATGGATAAGGTATGTTTTTGAAAGCCTATCTGCGATCGCATATTATGTCTCCCGCTACCTGAGGCCGAGATCCTCGATCAAAAACACAGTTGAGAATTTCAACTTAGGTTGAACCACAGCCGGCAAAACCCGGCGCCGACTCGGAGTGATCGCCGTCATTCCCTTGTCCTTCTCTCCCTCAACCTTCCGACAATTCGCCGCCCTTCCCTCCCAATCTCTCCCAAGATATTGGGACGATGTCACACCAAAAAAAGGGAAATTTCAGCTCAGGTGAACACCCTGTCGAAAACACTGGTTTAGGCTGCAAGCTGAACACGCAAGCGGAACTATTGAATTCGGCTGCCGTTTCAGCCGAGAGAGCCGAAACTAATTGTTTCGACGGCAGTTTCGGCCGCTGATTTGCGTGTTCGGCCGGCCCGAAACTTATTGTTTCGGCGCATTGCAGCCGAAACTGCGGTCGAAACTAATGTGTCCAGCAGCGTTTTGAGATTGAGGCTGAAACCTTTGTTTTCAGCAGGGTGTTCACTTGAGCCAAAATTTCACATTTTTTGGTGTGTGTGTTGCCCTTCGCGGTGATGCATGCTATTACCCTTTCCCCCGGACCGCCCCTGTCCGTTGTATGATGCGGGTTGCCCGCATGACCCGCTATCGATGGTGGATTCAGGTATAAAAACGCATAACGACGTATGTGGACACATTGGACTTTATCCCTTATCCTCCCACCAAAGTAAAGACCAACGATGCCCGCCAGTGACTTTGAGACGCTCAGGACTGGTGCCAAGATGCCGACTCTCGGCCTTGGTGCGTTCTGGTATTTGACCAGTTGAACGCGTTTCACTGACGCGCAATAAACAGGCACATGGCAGAGCGCGAAAGGCGAGGTCAGGGAAGCGGTCAAGCACGCGCTGGATGCTGGGTACAGACACATCGACACGGCGGCGGCGTACGAGAACGAGAAAGAGGTCGGGGAAGGGATCAAAGCCTATCTCTCAGGGGAGGTGGCCTCCAAGTTGCGTGTGACGCGCAAGGATATCTTCCTTACCACCAAGCTGGACAACCCGGACCAGAAAAATGCGCCGGAGGCGCTCGAGGCGTCGCTCGGGGAGAAAGGGCTCGACACGCCCTATCTGGACTTGTGGCTGATGCACTGGCCGGCGCCGATGACCAAAGGCGAACCCGGGACTCGGAAGGCGGACAAGACGCACGACTGGCTCGACACCTGGAAGTCGATGGAGAAGATATACAAGGACGGCTTGGAGGACCCTAAAAAACGGAAGGTCCTTGCGATCGGCGTATCCAACTTCTCCGTCAAGTTCCTCGAGCGGCTGCTGGAACACGCCGAGTTCGTCCCTGCTGTGAACCAAATTGAGCTGCACCCGTACGTTCCGTTTAGTGGTGGATGTGGAGATTGTGTCGCTGATTTTCCCATGCAGAGGATGCCCGCAGCACGACGTGGTTGAGTTTTGCAGGAAGAACAACATCATCGTGACGGCGTATTCGCCCCTCGGGTCGACCCAATCGACGCTCCGAGACAACGCGGTCGTGAAGACGCTCGCGGAAACTCACCACAACGCCAGACAGAAGCCCGAAGACCCGCCAGTGGGGCCCGCGAACATCCTCCTCTCGCTCCAGGCTAATAAGCCGCGGGTCACCGTGCTCGCCAAATCCGTCGACCCCAAGCGTATCGAAGGTACGTCCTTCTGTCACTCACAGACTAGTGGGCTAACCGAACGCAGACAACAAGACGCTTGTGCACCTTACGGACGAGGAGATTGCGGAGCTGCACAAGATCGCCGATAATGGTGGCGCCTTCCGTGTCTGCCACCCCTCCTGGACCGGCTGGGGCGGGCTCGGGTTCCCTGACTGCGAGTAGATAGAGTCGCTGAGGATGTAGAAGTATCGTTAAAGAATTATTGTATTCTTGTAGAACAATTAGAAACAGAGTTCGATGAATCGCCCCTATCCCAATCGAGCGATATCGCTTGTCCATCTGTTTTCCCGACTTGTTCTGTTCTACCATCGCTGCTGAGGCTCAAGTCGAGGGTGTCTCTGGATCTCAAGCCGGATTACTGCTACTTGGTCTCTGCGACGCTCTAGAAGGTCCTGCGGCGGTCTCACATCTCCTGGATGGCGACGCTCCCCAGATCTCCAAACTCCTCCAGGATCTTGTCCTCCGCCGCCAAAGGGCGTCCACACTCGGACTTTGACGCTGGGATTAACGCCTCGACTGCGTGGACTGAGCATCTGGGATCGTTGTCTGATGAGGAGCCCGACGCCGAGGAGCCGGAGGGGTCTACCCGCCCCGCACGGGCGTTGTACGACTTTGAGGGCAAGAGCGAGTTCCGGGAGCTCAGTGTCGATGCCGGGGACGAGTTAGAGGTCGTGAAGGAGGATTTGGCGGATGGGTGGAGTCTTGTCAAGAACGAGGCTGGCGAGGTCGGGCTGCTGCCTCGGACGTATTATACGGTACGTCTTTTTCTTGCGAATGAACGGGCGGGCAAAAATGACAACACCTCGACAGTTCACGGCCGATTTCATGGCGGCAACACCCGAGGTGGCCATGTCCGGGTTCATGCAACGGACGCACCAGCGCGATGCGTCGAGCAGCACGATCACCCCGCGCGGGTCCGTCGCGTCGCAGGACGGCGGCGCCATCGTCCCGCAGAACACGGGCGAGTGGCGCACCGCGTTTCCGAGCTTCCGCCAGAGCCTCCTCGGCGGCAAGAGCCTCAACCGATTCTCGACCTTCGTCACCAGCGGCGCGGAGGAGTGGGTCCTGAAAGGCACCGCCGCCGACGCGCTGCTCTCTCCGGGCGCTGTGCATGCGCGCGAGAAGAGCGGGGTCAGCGACGACGAGGAGGAGGAAGAGGACGACTCTGAAGAAGCGGAGGAGGAGCGCAACCGTCTGAACCGTCTCGGGCTCGGCGAGGCGGACCGCCACTTCGTCGACGCGGGGCTCGCATGGAAGACGAAGCTCCCGCCCTTCCGCGTGATGGTGCACTCGCCCTCGAAGCGCACCTCCACGCTCTCCGGCGCCTTCACCATCTACAGCGTCACCTCGCTCTTCCACCCCCCGCCGCCCTCTTCCGCAGACGACGACGCGGACGTGTCCCCGACGCGCATCACCGTGCACCGCCGCTTCTCGCACTTTGTCATCCTGCACACGGCGCTGACGCGGCGGCTGCCCGGCATCGCGCTCCCGCCGCTGCCGGAGAAGCAGTACGCGGGGCGGTTCAGCGAGGACTTTGTCGAGGCGCGCCGCGGGGACCTCGAGCGCTACATCGCGCGCGTCGTGCGCCACCCCGTCGCGCGCTACGCAGAGGTCGTCACGTTCTTCCTCGGGTGCGAGAGCGATACGGTGCGTGTGTGCGTTACTTTAAGTCCTGCGAAGTACTGACGCGTTATCTAGGAGTGGAAGCGGCTGGTCCCGCAGCACCTCGCGATGCCCGCGGCAGGGCCGTCGTTCTACGCGCGCGTGTTCCACCCGGATTTCAACGTCGATGCGGAGGACGCCGCGGATGCAGTCGACCGATTCGATACGCACACACGCGCGATCGGCAAGGGTGTACAGGGTCTGCGCAACATCTTCGGCCGCGTGCGCGAGGCGCGCATCGGTAAGTCCCTCTCCTCCTTTCTCCGTTGGTTCCCCACCTTCTCAGGCTTCACCTTGACCTTCGTTTAAATTTAATGATACTTACGAACGACTGCACGCAGAGATGTCCAAAGCCGAGCGCCTACTCTCCTACTCGCTGCTGTCGCTCATCACGTCAAAGCCGCTCGCGTCGGCGCCGGTGACGGGCGCGAGCGAGGAGGAGGAGGACTACAACGCGAAGGGAAAGGGGCTGCTCAATGACGACGGGGCGTGGTGCTGGCGCGAGGGGTGTACTGGTGCGTCGTCTCACTCTCCTTAACTTATCCTCCTACTTGTACAACAACTGACAACTAATTGTGAATTGACGCAGACT